AGTATATACAGGTATCTTGAAAAGAGCCAAATGAAAGGATATGTAGATAAAAAATAAAAAAGCTTTTCATGGACTGTTGAGTCGCTGCACCAGTAGCAGCAATAGCTGTGTTAAATGCCACTAACAAAAGCTCTGTTCTAGTTTTTCTCATTTTGAACATGGAATCCACCTATCCCATGGGTGTTTTTGAAATGAGATTATTATTTCCATTAATCCTTTTGTATCAGACACTTCTGGCGGAACATTGTTCTTTGCAGATAACTCCATGTCTGTGTTCTCCCCTGTAACATTGCAAAAAAAGTTTTTCTGCAAGATCCCCTATATAAACTACTGTTTAAGCTTTTCCTTCATTTTGGAATGTGACTCCTAAGCCTGTGTTCACCTGGCCCCAGAAGGAACTAATGTTTCTATTCTTATGTGCAATCAGGTGCAGAGGACTCTAAATCTACTGTGCTGTGAGCACTAGCCTGTTTTGTAACTTTTTTTTTTAAACTCATAACACTTTGTGACTAAACAATTTTCTTAGTAGATTGTTTTATTACAATTTACACAGCATTTTTAGGCTAGATATAAAGGCACCGTTTGTGCTGATATAACAATGCCCTACCCATTGACTGATATTCTTTTGATTAAACCTGTAACTCATTTTCCTTAAGGTGTTGCTTTGACCTGTGTGATAGTCTGAACTTTAACTTGCAGTGGAAACTGAGGATGTTCTTTCGTTTGCTTACTTGGTCAAGTCTGCGATAAGATGAAGAAATATTTATATGAGAAGTTCATCATATAAAAGCAGACCAAATTGTGTACTGATTCATTTTGTCTTGATTCTCTGCCTATAATTTGGTCTTCTTTGGGCTTTTCATTTTACATTAGAAGTGTGTGTAAGATGGTAAGCATACTCAGACTGCAGAGCTAAAGGGCTTCTGTTCTTTTTGGCAGACAATAGCTGGAAACACTCCTTCTTTTATCAGCGATGAAGAATAGACAGGCTTAAGAATTCATTTTCTAGTTTGACCATTTGAAATCAGTAATGTCAGTGGCATCAGAATCAGGCTTATATCACTTAAAAAATAACCCACACATACTGGATCACCATGGAAAACATAAAGGAAAGCATATAAATCACTCATACTGCAGTTATTCTGCTGGAACTTAAAGGCAGAAAAATTTGAATGCCCTCACTTTGTATCTTTTCTCACTCACTCTATGTTGCTATGTTTTAACTAATTTTGCTATACCAAGAACCAAGAGTTAGTTGCAGTAAAACCATGTGGTCAGTACATTTCAACTACATTTCTGTCAAACCTCTTCTAAATTCCATTATGCAGTTTTAAACAAATTCAGAAGTCATATAAGCAGACATAAATCCAAGACCTTTATCAGGGTTAAGATCTAACCATTCTGGTAACGGAATCAGTAATATGATTGTACAAACTAAAGTCTCGTGTAACCTCTACAATAAGTCAACTTGGCTGGATAATTAATTTACCAATCTGCATGGTTTGTTTGTTGGGTTGGTTTTTTTTCTTTTACCTCTTAGAGCTTTTTTTTAATAGTTGGAATCAGTCTAATATCCAAAGTCACCATATTTCGTTGTATATCTGCATCAGGGGTAGAACGCTGCAGTGTTCCTAAGTTTTTACGTATTATCTACTTAAGTTAAATACGAATAATAACTCCAGGGAGTGATTCACATGGTAAACCATAGTTTATAATGAACTCCAAGAAAAAAAAAAAAATCATGTAGCTACTTCTTCAAAGAAGTTTGACTGTCTTTAAAGCTTTTTTAAATGTTATTTATGTGTGACTTGTATCAAAAAGGGGACAAGTTTTTATTGAATACTACTGAAACACCTTAGGCTATAATACGAAAAACCCTCAAAAGCTCTAACCCACTTGGAAAGAATTTTTTTCCAGTAACATCAATTTAAAGTAATATGCTTAAAGATGAATGATATTTCTGCACATACACACCCAGATGGAAAAGAATTAAATTAAGAAGAGGTATAACAGAGGTATTAACATGGTTATGTGCATCTTTAGGCTGTCTGTAAGAATCAGCTGTCACATCTATGTTTATGAAATGCTCATAATCAGCAATGCGCTCTATTTTACACTTCCATGCTGATTGGCTCATATGTCTTAGTTACTCAACTACAATATAATTATGATTTAAAAAAAAAAAGAAAAAGGCCTGTTGCATTAAAGACAGAGTTGGAAATATTCCAATGTATTGCATTAATTTAGTTCAATTTATATGAGCGTGTTTCACTCTGCTAGGGAAGGTTAATCCACCAAGCTCCATTTCCTGCCTTAATCGTCTACCGTAAGGATATTAATATGCCATATTAATGCCACACATTGCTATGTGGAACGTGTGGTCCTGCTTCTAGCATTTTTAACTACCTTTGAGCTAATGGCATATCTATACATACACTTTTAAACTGCTTTTTTGCATATTGCTCATAATATAAGAACTAAGCATTTCAGCTAGAGGATTTAAACAAAGGAACTTGAACTGACAATGACTTCCACACTGCTGATGCCACAGTAGTCCATGGTTGAAATCAGCAGGTCTATCTATCCAGTGGTTTATTATCCACTCTACAACAGTCTGCAGCTGTGAAATTGG